ACCCCCACCCCCCGGGCGGCGGTAAAATTGTCAAGCGTTGAACGGTCCGCAGTGATAAAAAGGTTGGGGACCACTGCTGTAGACCACCGTTGTTGTTCAAAAATGGTTAAAATCACATCAGTGAAACACACCGCTGCACTAGGTGACATATTTCCTCATTAGTAAACACCAGACCTGAACATGAGTAGCTTGCAGATTGTAAACAAACCTGAGATCCCACAAAATCTTGCGTATGTGCAGTTGACTTGCACTAACTTTAGAAAGTTATGGGGGCCTTTGGGGTAACATAGTCGGGCCTGGAGTTTTGTAATGAAAAAAGATGTCACTCAGTGCAGCGGTGTGTTTCCCTGATATGTTTATAATCATTTTTGAAAAATAAGAGCTCTTATCGCACAGACGACCAAGCTAATCCAGGACTCATAGACTGATGGACATTTACTGTAAGTAGAAGCAATTCATTGTCGGTTCTAGTCTCTGTATGGAGACAAGCATTGGAATGGGATCACAGGCAGGGAATGAGCAACTACCGATACCACTTTATTCAGATTGAGGACAAGTACGAGTACTTACATTTAAGTAAATTACAATTACCGTGATAGTGCAATGGCTTTAGAGACCGTTTTTATTTTCATGAGATTTACTTTCTGAATGTGATTAAATAAAATACAACAAGAGGCTGTGCAAATTACCTTAAAGTGCCCATAGCATGCTCATTTTGCTCGTTTCCAGCCATTTAATGTTTAATCTTGGGTACCTCTAGATTAGCGTGGCACCCCTCATAACTCCAAATAGTTTGTAATTGTTTCAGAATCAGAGAGCCAAAAAGCCTCTTCCTTAAAATGAGAGTACAATTTGTGAGCACAGTTCCTGTTGCCAGTGTTGTTTTGCAAGTGGACAGCACAACAAACCGCATTGGCATTAATTAATTTGAATTTCTCCTCCATAGATAGGTAAACAACAGTATATGTACTAATGAAAAGAGATGTGTAACACTCTAAACAAAGTGGGTAGTTGAGAAACCCAATATTTTAACTGGCATAATGCAGACATAGTAACTTCTCCAGCCTTACAACAATTCTCTCTAACATTACAGAAACAAAGCATTAACAAACATGCAACTTGTATTTTTTAAACTTACCATTTAGTCCCACTGAGTAGTGGAAACAACACTCCCTTTCAAGTAGCTCCAAGGTTGGTAAATCCAATGGGTGGTCGCTGTGTCTTCCCCCACATGACCACATACAGTCCCAAAGTAGTGACATGAATTCCAACAGGTAACGTAGCTCTGACAATAACATTATGGGTCGTTAATCCGCTCTTTAACCAGCAACACATCACATGCGGCAGACACACTAAGCAGTCAAAACAAGCAGATACTGTCCTCTGGGGATCATTCACCACCCCAGGGTGCTTCACTGACTAATGGTACTTGTAGGTTTCCAGCCACAGGCAAGCTTACATGAATACGCACAGCCAGGAGAATATGACCATTCAAGGAAATCTGTAAACTACTGTGTAAGACTTTGCATAGTTGGAAAAAAGTCTCCCCAGCAAGAGTTCGCAAGACTTGTATAAACCGAGTTGCTTCTGCATAGAAGTACATCATAGGTACACCCTTGAATATATTATATTAACCAGCATCACATCACATGCGGCAGACACACTGGCTTCAAGCAGTCAAAACAAACAGGCCCTGTATTTTTCTCCACATCCTCTGGTCACAGTGCAGCAGCAGGAAGTAAAATATATCCACAAAACCAGGCACAAGGTGCAGTCGAAGATTTCTGCTTTTACAATGGCGCTGGTGGATTACTGAGTTTTTCCCCCATAAGCTTTATTGAAAACATACATAAACAAGGCAATATAGCATTATGCCAATATGATGGGGGCACCGGTGGATGTCAGGCAAGCTCACATGAACGCGCAACAGCTTGGATATTATGCCCATTCAAGGAGATCCTTAAACTATCACGTAATACTTTATTCTGTTAGAAAAAAGTCTTGCGAGTGAGAGTTTGTGTAATGTGTATAAACCGAGTTGCTTCGGCATAGAAATACTAGAACATACGAACACCTCATTTCTTTGAGCTTTAGGTCACGTCAAAGATGATAATTCAATGATATAACATTGTAGATAAGTCAAAAAACAAGGAAAAGCATGCCATGGGCCCTTGAAAGATTTTTGTGATAATGAACACAGTACTGCCACCATCCCTACTGAATATAATGTGTTACTGACTGAACTTCTGTAACATAGATTACTGTACAGTGCTTTTAACCTTTTGTGTGACCCTCTGTTAGGATGAAATGATTTTATGACCCGCTGCACAGAACGCCAAAGTTCAGGAGCACATAATACTTGGCAATTAAATGTTGAATTTAATGAGGGTGCACGCTCAACTGGCTACTGTCTGTAGCTTTATCCTCTGGGCACATTCCTGTACTGCTGTATAGGAGCTGCCTCTAAGTCCACAGGGATTCAACCCATCTTCATACACAGAGCTCATTAGACTCTGCCTTTAACTGCATAAAATTAGAATTTTGTTTTCATCTCATTCACAATAATTCACTACAATAAGCAGCATAATAAGCACCATATGGGTTTAGTGGGTGAACAGGACCAGACGGGCAGAGTGAAGACATTGCACTTCTGCAAGTTTGTTGTTATGTTCAGCTTGTTCAACAAGTGTTTGATTAAATACTCTCCGTTGCTGTTAGTTTTGTTGTACATATCAAGCATTGACATTTCTGTAAATGCCACCTTGTGTGAGACAGGGAAGGAGGGGAGCTCACAGGCACTCATAGCAGACCAGAGAATCATAGCTCGCATTTGGCTTTACTTTTGTCATCATCACTTAACTTAAAATATTCTTGAACCACTGAAATTTCTTCTCCACCACCTAACGATCAGCTTAGCCAGCATGAGGTTAAAGGTAGGGTTGGCAATTCTTGGAGAAACCAGTAAGAGGAAGCTCAATTTTGAAAGTAGACAACCAAAGAAATCCCACCCTTTTGTTCTGACTTCTCTTCAAACACACTTCTCAGAAACACAATGCACACTGCAATGCGCACTGCCTGACTACTTACAAATTTCAGTAAAATAACAAATGTCCCCCAAACAAAACAAAACAGATAATTACCTGTCCAGCAGAAACATGGCCATCATGACATGACTTTTCACCCACTTTTGTTCTCTGTTGTCGCCATCGTTCACAAACCACACATACAGTATGTTTATTCTGGTTTTACTTCTTGCAGCAACCGACTTCTCTTAGTTGTAACTTTCTCAAATACGATGTTACCTGCCCAAATCTGCAGCCCTGGACCATATTTGGGGGCCTCTGTTTCATGGCCAAACTGCTTTAGTCCTGGCTCGTAGCCAGTACCTAGCCTTAGAAGTCCGAGCTTTTCTAGTGGGGAGAAGTGAAGACGGACTCCAGCTAACTCTTTTCAAAACACAGGCTTTATTCCGTCTTGGTAACACAAACACTGCATGTGGCCTTTGATGCCCAGTTAACTGCATTACAATCCTATCTATACACTTAGAGCTGACTACTGTTGGTACCTTCTTGCTCTCATACTGCGCAACCTGCCAGTGTATTTAATGTATTCATTGCCATCGGGATGAAAAAGAGAATTTCAAGATGTAACAAAAATTGCTTCTGAAAAGAATCGTGAACCTTACCTTTAATGTAATGCTGCTGTTAACTGGTATTGGTGTGTAGTATCAAACTTACATGAGTAACTACAAGTACTGGAGTGGGATATCAAAAACCAATAACACTATTGGTGCGTGCCTTGTCACAGCCTAAGGGTCAGATGCGATTTCTTTTACTCTGATCTTGGACCTGCATTTAGTGCATTCAAAGGCTGCGGGCAGTGGTCATTTTCATTGTGATTAATCTACCGGTTTCTTTTGTGATTAATCAACTAAATGATTGTCTCTAGATGTAGCCTACATAGAGGAAAATGTATTTACCAATTTACACAAAATGATAAATGTTACTATCACATATAAGACAATAAAGCAGCAAAGTGAGAAGCTGGATCTAGGTTGTGTTTTGGATTTTTGCTGAAAAAAATGACTTAAAAAGTAAATCTGTTTTTAAAATAGTTGATTAATTTTCTGTTGATTGACTAATCATTTCAACTCCAGTGTAGTCTTGTGCCATATCAGTAACAGCAAACTCCCTCTCCCCTGCTAGGTACTATCTGCACTGTACTAATGCACTTGTCTGTGCTGTCTTTATTTACACACAGGATAGAGAAGTAGTATCTGAGGACAAAAGATCCAGAAGATCAACCATATAATCAATGAAGCTGAAAATGTGGAATGTAGAATTCAGAACTGCAAGAAGAAAGAAAACACTCTGATAGTTACCAGTTCATTAGAAATATTAGATGCTTTTATCAAGATTAGTATGTTAATGAGCATAGCAAAGTATAAATCTGAAAAAAACTCAAAGTACATCACACTGTTGTCCTCCAATGAGAATGAATATAAATGAGGCATTACTATTTAAAGTCAGGCTCTGTACTCACCCCTGTTCAACGTTCTATATGTCTTTGTTTAGAGAGATTATTTTCAATCATCATTATTTTAGACTCCCTTCTCCATAAGAAGCTGTATGTCACATTTTCAACTTTAACTGTTTTATACCATGCTTGTACAAAAAGCATATTTTTATTTGACAATCATTATCAATTAAAATGTCACAACACGTGAACACAACATTTTTCAGGGTTTGTTTGATTGAGCTACCAGATTTATACTTCTTTGTCTTTGCATAATTGCATAGCTTTAAAAAGATGAAATATGTAAACAAAGTACCAACATTTATAATGGTGTCTGCCGTTTAATTAGCGGTTTAGGGGTTTCAAATATTTAGTAGTGTTTTTTTTTAATATCAACTATATGAATTCATGTGGAATTCTGATTATATTTTGACACTGAAGCTGTTTTGGTGGTTGTAATAGTTCAAAGTGTATTTTATTGTGGCTCACTGTTCTTTTTTCTTTCTAGCTTCTATTGTTAGTTTTATTTCATCTACAAATAACTAAGAATATAATAATCTGTAATAAATCATTTAATACAATTATGAATAGATTATATGTAACAGTCCTACTGTACTCATACTACATAACTCAACTCACTTGTTGCTTGTTCTGATAAAATATCTGTATGAAAATAGTTGACAAAGTTTGTATACTTGGTTTTTGTCATTGTGTGAACATTCATGATATTCTTAATATGTAATGGGGCTGTAAAAGGAAACCTAAGAAAGGTTCTTATAAACTTTCAACTGTATTCCTCTTCAGATGGGCTAATAACAGATTGTACCTGCTCTAATTGAAATAAAGTTATTTTTCTCTTGGTGAGGTTTCCTTCTATAGTTGGCCTTATCTGGTACCAGAGGGAATCATGTAAAAACTCAACTTTAATTTTTATGATACAACATACAATAAATTATGATGTACCAATTCTTTATCACATGTAATACACCCCCACTCTTCATCAGCCCATCATTCCTCCATCTATTATCACTACCTTTCCCAAACTTAGGCCCACGAGCCATTTTAGGTCATGGATCCGTTATTATTGGATCACCAATTGGCAGAGTAAAAAGTATAACAATGGCTATGATATGTGAATTTATTTTCCTAATCAAAACAGAAGAAGCTCAGATGCTGTGTGAGGGACTCGCTCTCGCTTCTCAACATCATCTAGGCCTTTGCCAACTGGCCATTGACGTTTGTGAATTTTCCCTGTGGGCTGATGCGTTTTCTCCACAATGTTTAGACATTAAACAGTTTACAGATATTCAACAGCTGCAGTGATACTGCTGGTGCAAGCCTTGTCAGCTGTGAGGGCCATTGCCTTCACAGCTGCAACGTAGATGTGGTAGCAATTGAAAAGGTAGAAACGCTTGTTTAGGAAATGAGAGTGCATTTTACTGGTACTTTTTTTCCACTATTTTTGTTTTAACTTGAAAAATTACAGTGTCACAGAAATATAAAAAAGCTCCATGCTGAAATGAAATTTTCGAACATTTTCATGTGATAGTGAAATGATTTTTAAACTTTTTTTTGTTTACCCAAAGCAAAAAAGAAAAACTCAGTGGTAGCTCCACACATGCTGTTTTATCATTTTCTCTAGGCAACTTGCTACATGACAATCTACACTGTCTCAGGAGGGTGTGCCAGGTCACACAAGGTCATTTAAATTGTAGCTAAACATACATCGCACTGCATTTTTTAGTTTTTGGAGACTAAGCAGAAGAACGAAGAGCTGGAAGATTAAACAGCAAGAGAATAGGTAAGATCCAGGGTCAGTCAGTGAATGAACCTTCACAACCACATAATCAAGTTTGTGTCTCTTTACCTCTGTCGTCAAGTCCATTGTCAGTTGACCAAAATAGAGATGTGGGAAACTGGAAAGAAATGAGAAAGATCACAACATGAAATGTAGAAAAACTAGCTCAGGAGAACTGGATGTGGTTTTCATTGGTATTAATCTTGTGCGTCACATAGGTGTGTCCAATTTGTTGTTCTGTTTTGGTAATGGTCTCATGTAATGTAGCTGTAACTCTGCAAGAACATCTTTGTTTTCTATGACATTTGCTGCAACAAATGTTCCAGGTCAGATTCAACAAAATGTGGTAGTTACCACTTATAATTCTGACTCAGCTAGACTGTTCCATTGTCTTCATGATGTAATAAATGTAAAAAAAAAAAAAAAGCATTGTAATTTTCATCTGAAGATAACATTTGGTTGCCGGATCCAAAATGAGAGGTTATCTACTAAAATTAATTCTCTCTTTAGTACAAAATTCTTTCCCTTTGTTTCCACAGATAGTGAGTGTTTATTTGTTGAGCTGCAGTAGAATGAACAATAAAACACCATCTTGTATGAGAAAATACACTTAGAGGCTGGTTTGTAGGTTTTAATGAAGTTGTTAGTTTTTTCTCATGGCTGGTCTAAGTAAGTTAATATAACTGCTTTAACTCATACGGTGCAATTTGTGAAGCAGCTTAATAGGCTACTCAATAAAAACCATTTGTTGAAGACATTATGGAGAGTGTGATAATGTACAGAGAGAGGTATAGAAGGTTTTGGTGTTTTTGTTAAAACAAGAACTTGAAACGAGAATATGTCTGTCTCAGTGTTGCTGAGTGAAGGGTGGAGGCTGTGGTTATAGATTGAAAATGATAGCACTGTCACTGAAGTACTAAAAAATGGACATTTTCTATCACTTCATGTGATAAAAACTGCTCTTTATCCATCTTTTCTTAAACCCAGAACAAAAAAGAAAACTCATTGGTGGTTCCACATCCTGCACTGTGCTCTACTTTTGTTTCTTTGTTTTGTCATGTCCTCTAGGCAACTTGCTCAGTGAAAACCGACTCGGACTCAGGAGGGTGTGTCGGATCACCGAACAAGGTAAACATATGTCGCACAACATTTTAGGTTAGGGAGATGAGAGACTAAAGAGAAAATATGAAGAGTTTGAAGGATAAACAGTAAGAGTATGTAAGATGCCATGGTCAGTGAATGAACAACCACATAATCGGGTTTGTGTGACCTCTCTGTTGTGAAGTCCTACAAACATGGTTGACAGGGCAGGGAGAGTAGGGCACATGGAGGTGAGTGATAAAAGGAGCAGATACTGTCCAGTCTACTCCTAATATAACATACATTATTAGACATTATTGTAAAAATGGGGGGTCTTCTTAGCTATTTTGTTTTCAATGTAAATGATTGTTGTGCTGCCAGTTTCCAAAACATCTCAGACATTGGGACTCTCCTAAGGATCTCTTCATCTTCACAGCTGAGCAGTGTGAACCTTCTCTCTCATCAAAAGTTGTAGTTTCCCTTTTGCGTTATACAACAGACCATCTATCACTGATTGAGCTATCATACATTCATATTTCAGTCATTTCTATCACAGCCATTTTGTCTAATGCCAGAATGGTTTCCTATAACCATCATCACCGAACAGTAGAAAAGCAAGTACATTGCCCTACTTTCTATCTGACAGTGATTTAAAACATTTAATTTGGTTCCTCTTCTTTGGAACCACAGCACAGAATGAGAACTACAGTCACACTCATGTCTTTTCAGAGATGCAAACTTGTATGTCTGCAATGTAAATGCTATTTGTTTGGTTGCTGGTCAAAGTTAAAATGAGAAGGAAAATTAAATATTTGCCTTCTCTGTTGGTTGTTTTTTTGTTTTCTGAAACTTTGTTGTATTTTCAGTAATCCGTTTCATTGGGGTCTCAGTTTTCTTATGCTTTCAAATCTGATTTGTTGATTTGCCTTTTGAAATTCATGAGTATGTTCAGTTCTGTGAAATGTATTCGTTGTTTAATCATTCATGACTGACTGTCACTTTGAGGGCAGTGACCAATCTGATGGGTGTGGTCAAGGTATTAAAGTCAGGTATCGTTCTAACCTGGGTTAATGTACATGTCATTCTTAAGCTGTGGTGCCAATAAATATGATGGTATCTGACAAAATTACCTTAAACTTGGAGGTGAGAGACGCTTTTTCTTTTTTTTAACTTTGCTGTCAAACAGCCCCCTGACAGTACGTGGACAGACCTACATCACTGTTTTGCAAAACACCAACATGGTGTTTTAAGATTTACAAAGCCTGAAGAAAACTTTAGAAAATTTAGTTTTAGTGTTTGACAAAGAACCAAATCCAAGAAAAAAAGATCAGTTATTACATTACATTTAATGTGGACATATTCTTATATGCTGTCATTTGGAATTTCAGATTTCTTGTCTCTCCTACTTCTCACCCCTTTTTTTAACTTCGCTCAGGAGGATATTGACCATTGGAAACAGGAATGGGCTCAGAGTGTCAACCTGGCAGAAGTGAGGTTTGAAACTAAGGTGAGTTTAAACATGCTCATGCCACCGTTCTTAAAATCTTAGTGTTTTGTTGATAATCATTGATTTGAAAGATGTTGCCTACCTCCAATGCTTAGTGCTGTTGCCTCAGCACGGGTTTGAGCCCCGGCCACTCCGGGGCATTTCTGTGTGGAGTTTGCATGTTCTCCTTGTGTCTGCGTGGTTTCTCCCTGGGTATGCTGTCTTCCTCTCACAGTTAAAAGACATGTAGCTTAGGTTGACAGGCAACTCTAAACTGCCGATGTGTGTGGTTGTTTGTCTTCATGTCAGCCTTGTGATAGACTGGTGACCTTTCCACGGTGAACCCCATCGTTTGCCAAATGACAGCTGGGTTTGGCTCCAGGCTGACCCACCACAACCCTCTTCAGGATAAGCTTTATTGGATGGTGAGGTGTACTTCTAAATATAAAACATACTTCTCTCTCACCTTTCTCTTATAGGTGATTACTTTGGATTATGGCATGAAAGACAAGAACCCCATCGATAGTATGTGTTTCTACAGCAAGCGTAACCCTGATAAAGCATTCACGCTGCACAAAGACCAGGTCAGAGCTAAAGCAAAGACAACAAAAATTATAATCTTAGTCTTTGTTTTGTATTAACTGTTTGTTTCTTGTGTGTACTTCTTTGTAAGGCAGCCTCTGTTACATCATTACTCACAATTGTGTGCTGCTGTCATTCACGTCAGGTGTCCATGAGTCTCCCGCAACGCTTTCCTGAGCTGATCATCAGGGCTTACTGCAAGGAAACTGATAACCAGAGACTGAATGATGCAGCACATCAGTTTGAGGAGTTCAAAGACTGGCTTACAGCTGTATAGTAATATCTAGATATATTGTA